GCGGCAGCGGCGGCCTGGCCTGGCCCGGCTCCGCACCGCACCGCTCCGTTCGCCCTCCCCGCCGGTGCCTCAGCGCCTCGGGCCCGCGGCACCAAACTTTGCCCGGAGTTCGCCGGCTCTCCCCGGCGGCGGCGGCGGCGGCAGCTCCCTCCTCCCCCTCCTGCCCCGCTCTGTGTGCGCGGAGAGGCGCCCACTCCAGCTCATTCCCAGTCTGTCTCTCATGCAAATTGCCTGCTGGCCGCCCCGGCCCGGCTTCCACCCCCTCCTTCCCTCCCAAACACGCTCACTCACGCCGCCGAGGGAGGGCGGGGAGGCGGCCGGCCCGCCGGGAACTCCGCTTCCCCCCCCCTCCTTCTCCTCCTCCTCCCCGCCGCCGCCAGCCCCCGCGCTCTCGCCAGAGGCCCCCGCTCCCCGAGCGGGACGGGGCTCTCCCTCCTTCCCTCAGCCCCGCTCCGGCGCGGCTCCCCCTCAGCGGCGCCGGGCGCCCCGCGGCCTTCCCGCTGCCAGCCCCCTCAGAGCGTAGGGCGGGAAGCTCCCCTCAGGGCCGCCGCGGCGGGAAGGAGCGTCCTTAGCCCGGCCCGGGAGACCCCCGGGGGTTCTGCCGGCCCGAGCCGCGGCCCTTCGGTTCCCCCAAAGCCGGGAGACCCGCCGGGGCGGCCGTTCCTCTCAGGGAGGCCGGCGGTGGGGCTTCGTGCTCCTTGGAGCCGTGGGCTTATAGGGAGGGTCAACGCGGCCCCGAGAGGCCAAAAGCGAGCTAAAGGAGCCATGGCTGGGGGAAAGCTCTGCGAGGGGAGAGGCGGGAAAGATAAATATGCCACAAAGTGCCCCCTCGATGGAGGGAAAGGGACAGAGTGTCCTCGGGAAGGGTGGGATGGATGCGGCCCCCACCACCGTGGCTCTTTCCTCTGTGGAAAGGTGTGTTTCCACCCAGAGATAGCTGGACACGACGTGGTCAGCTGTGCTCAGACAATCAGCAGGTTATTTTTTTCAACCCCTTAAATTTACTGTTCCATTCCCTCATCTTTCCACCCCAAACATCAGGTACCTGAATAATTTTTACCCTCTATCAGGCACAAATGACACCCTGGACGTGTTTACTAGCAGACCTGGTCAGAAATTCTCAGATGGAGTATTTTTGTCAGAGGATGACAGTTTGTTCAGTGCTAGGTGTTTTGTAGAGATACTTTGGTTTGGGCTGACTCAGGGTGGCATCCAGGTAAATTTCCAGTTCCTCACTTTCCATCGCGGGACAGACTGGGCTGTCACACTCCCCAGCCTTTAGCATCCCCCCCTCCACGCTGAAAGGGAGTCCAAGCCCTAAAAAATATGTAAATACAAACTGTATCTCCCCAGGGTTCCAGTTCTCTGATAAACCTCCCCGAAATGGTGCTGAGCAGCGCACATGGCAGCCTGGCAAGCAGCAAGAGGCTGGGGGCCACCTGCAGAGTCACCAGGTGCCTCCGCCGTGGCTAGTTCATGTTTTTGATCTCCAGCTGCTTCCCTGCTCCTCACAACAGCTGCCCAGGAACACAGGGGTAAAATTTTCAGGGGACCCGGCTCCCAAATTCTGAGGTTTCGAGCTAAAAGATGCCTCCCAGTTCTCTCCATCCTGTCAGAAGAGATGATGGCGAGCCCAAATTCGGGAAGCCTCTGGCACTTCTCGGCAGCTCCCAGACATGCAGGTTCTTGCCAACCCACATTCTCCTATTCCAGGTTCCAGTGCAACACGGTGGGGAGACTCCTCGAAAGCCGCCATCCAAAAACTTCCCGTGCCTGCGGATTCGGAGCAGCCAGCCCTTCGGATCGCCTTGGGGCAAGTTAGGAACCTCTGGGTTCAGACAGCGTCTGAGGCTCAGAGGCAAGTGGCTTGGCTTTCACGAGGGTTTAAAACAAACAGTGTGTTTTATTCCAAATTGACAGTACCAAATTTTGAAATATCAATATTGGGTAGAAATTAAATACTCCCTTCTCTTCCTTCTCTTTTTTTTTTTCTTTTTTTTTTTTTTCTTTTTCCCCCCAGCATTCTGATTTTATCCCCCAACATGCATTCCCTGAGTGTCTTGAATTTTGGAGGCTCACCACTAAAATTTTGGAACATCGCCCTGACCCAGTTTTTGGCTGCCTCAGTTGAGATGCCTGAAGTACGGAGATGTGGAACCCCTGTAGATGATCCCAACACCAGTTGGCGGAAATAGTTCCTCAATACCTCTGAAACGACAGAAAAAAAATTCCTTGACATTAATTACACTAAAAGCAGGATGCCTAAATGACTGTTGCTAGTTCCATCGATTTCCTGCACGTTCGTGTTTTTCTGAAAAGGCCCAGTTCCCAAGAGCTGGTGATTAGTTAAGGATCTGAACTTTCATTTTAAATTTTTTTCCCCACAACTTTAGAGAATAACGTGAAAACGTGAACCAAGTGAAACACCAATGGTGAAGTTAAGTAGGTTTTAAATGGAGAAATAAGTCCTTACTACACTTTTAAACACGGTGAAGTTTAAAGTAATCTTTTTCTGTTTTCCTAGTTCTTGGCCCAGCGCATTTTACAACTGTAAGAAGTCCAGAAGTAGACTGAGCCTGCAGGACCTGGCTGAGACCTGGCAAATCAATACAGCATCAGGGCCATCTCAGTGCAGATTTCTGCTGGGGACCGTATCTGTTTCTTTCTAGCTGTGCTGGCTAGAAAATCATGGGGACTGTTCCATACTTTTTTCATCCAGAAAATTTGCAATAATACTGAAAACTCATCTCTACCCTCAGACCTCACGCTGTGACCTCACTTCAGCAGGGGGCTTCCAGAATTTTCTGTACATATTCATGGGCTAATCTTCACTCCCTTACAGTCATATCACAAGCCAACAACTGGGTAAATTTGAATAAGGGGAAGGAGAGGAAGAGCTGAGTGGTTTGCTCATGCTTGTACAGTGATTTAGTGGCAAAAAGGTGAATAGAATTCACTAAACACTGAGCCGAACTGGGTCCCACTTGCTTACAGGATCATAAATGAGGCACAGGCAGCTAAATCACCCATCTGAACCCTGTGGATGCTACTATAAACAAATAAACATTTGGTTCTGGGATGTAAAATTAACTTTTAAGATTAGGAACATTAGATTTTATGGAACGGCTTGTGGGCCTGCCAGGGTTACCTGTAAGAATGAACTGTGCTACGAAAATATGACTTTCTGAACCTCTAGACAGTAATCCTTTATTTCAGAGAGTTTTGGACACTCCGGAGTGGAAAAATTAACAGACAGGAAAAGACAGGACCGTCCCAATTTCGCATGGTCTGGATCTGTTTGCTGGTTTGCAAAATGTCTGATGTCTCGGAAGCCACCTCTGGGCCAGATAACTTTATGCATTTATTTGTGAAATAATTTGTTCTTTGCTCTTAAAAAAATCATTATCCTTTGTATCTTTGTGGCATAGTACGGGTTCAGGGACTTGCATTGCTGCAGTTTGCTCTTACTGAAAAATACAGATAAATAGAGTCTGCAATAATGTGACAAAGGTATATACTTGAAAAAAAGCCTCAAACTTGCATTTCTTAACCTTTTACTGATATATTAGCACCTTATTAAAAAATATTTTTGACTTACCTTCTTCATTAATAGGATTTATTTGTGAAATAATTTGTTCTTTGCTCTTAAAAAAATCATTATCCTTTGTATCTTTGTGGCATAGTACGGGTTCAGGGACTTGCATTGCTGCAGTTTGCTCTTACTGAAAAATATAGATAGAGTCTGCAATAAATGTGACAAAGGTATATACTTGAAAAAAAGCCTCAATCTTGCATTTCTTAACCTTTTACTGATATATTAGCACCTTATTAAAAAATATTTTTGACTTACCTTCTTCATTAATAGGATCAATCAGCGAATAGGAACAGAATTTAGGTTCACAAAGAGAAAAATTGGGCTGTGATTCAGGAGCAGTGTAAAATCAGGATGAGAAACAACAAGGTGTCCTCTGAAGCTCACGTGCCCTTATTAGAAATATTTTTAACAACTTTTGAGACGGAAGAATAGCTTCGCTCTGTGTTTTCTTCATGTGCTCGAAGCAGTGAGGAGGCAGCGAGGGATTTCTGGGCAGACTGGAAGCCGGTCCCATCAGCTGCCGGTGCAGGGGCGTGCTGGAACAGGCCGGCTGGAGGAAGCGTGGCCAGTGCACGCTGTTCTCTGGCTACGGCTCAGCCGACAGACGGTTCTTAGGGGAGCCTGGTGCCTGCTCCAACAGCTCCCAGGCTGTCTTAACATGCAATTGTGGCTAGTTTGAAAATCAGGGAGTGGTTGAGAACCGGCTTCTAATGTACTGCCCCCATCTCTCTCTCTCACTCGCTTGACAGGCTGAGAGAGCTGGGGTTGTTCAGCCTGGAGGAGAGACCTTATAACCCCTTCCAGTCCTTAAAGGGGGCCCATAGGAGAGATGGGGAGGGGGTCTTTATAAGACACTGTCACGACAGGACAGGGGATAATGGTTTTAAACTGAAAGAGGGGAGATTTAGATTAGATTTTAGGAAGAACTTCTTTGCTGTGAGGGTGGTGAGAGCCTGACCCAGGTTGCCCAGAGAAGCTGTGGCTGCCCCATCCCTGGAGGGGTTCAAGGCCAGGTTGGAGGGGGCTTGGAGCAACCTGGGCTGGTGGGAGGTGTCCCTGCCCAGGGCAAGGGGTAGAACTGGATGATCTTTAAGGCCCCTTCCAACTCAAACCATTTATGACTGAAATATTAAGTATAATCTCCTCTGTGGGCATTACCTGTACTGGAAGGGAGTTTTACAATGGCACTGACCGAGGCAGCTGAGAAGCAGGTGGAGAACCTGTGAAGTTCAGAGCAGACAGGGATTTACTAGAGCAGCTGAAAGGGCTGTGACCTTCTCAACTCCATGTGCTCCACATTACTTAAGTGGCAGCCACACCAAAGGGTGAGACAGGCAGCAGGGAAAATGAGGAGAGAGTTTCAAATTGGGTTATATTCATATGTTAACTTGTAA